GACAGTTAAGGCAGGCTATTAGATATGTTAACGCGTTGGCGATGGCGATAGCGATGGCGATAACGAGTACCGCAGACGATGGAACGACGAGTTGTATGGGCTTTCCAACGACATGGACATAGTGCAGCGAATCAAAACACAGCGGCTAAGCTGGCTTGGCCATGTCGTTCGAATGGATTCCGACGCTCCAGCTCTGAAAGTATTTAATTCGGAACCCGCTGGTGGTAGCAGAGGAAGAGCGGGGCCTCCACTGCATTAGAAAGACCAAGTGGAGAAGGATTTGGCTTCACTTGGCATTTCCAGTTGGCGTTAGTTGGCACAGAAGAGAAACCACTGGCGTGCCTTGTTGAACTCAGCCAAAATCACTGAGGGGGTTACAACGTCAAAAAAGAAGAGGAAGATCAGATATGTTAGCAAACATTTTTGCCAAGGCCATCTTTTGTTGTATGACTCAGCTGTATTTGANTCCAGCTCTGAAAGTATTTAATTCGGAACCCGCTGGTGGTAGCAGAGGAAAAGCGGGGCCTCTACTGCATTGGAAAGACCATGTGGAGAAGGATTTGGCTTCACTTGGAATTTCCAGTTGGCGTTAGTTGGCACAGAAGAGAAACGACTGGCGTGCCTTGTTGAACTCAGCCAAAATCACTCAGGGGGTTACAACGTCAAAAAAGAAGAGGAAGATCAGATATGTTAGCAAACATTTTTGCCAAGGCCATCTTTTGTTGTATGACTCAGCGGTATTTGTTGCATCAAAAATAATGAATCTCGGTAATATTTAATATAAATTTAATAATCTGTTGCTTTACTGCGCAACTGCGACCGCTTTTGCTTTAAACGTTATGCGATTTCGGTAGCCTGCTGCAATGGCTTTAGTTTGAAAGCACTTCTGCGAGGAGTCACAGCTTGCCGCAAACGGAAATCGCTCATTGATTACCGGCATCGAATTGCGAGACGAACTGGAACGCAATTAGAAGCGGAGGATGCAGGAGCGTCCGCACGTCGATGAGGCATCAATGAAACGGCCAGCAGTTGAGCAGTTGATGTAGAACGTGCGAGAATGCAAACGATGAAACAGCCGGCTAAAAAGGCTTTGCGGCGAAACATTTGCTGGACCAAATTAAGTACAATGTCAGGGTAGAAGAGCATACGAAGCATCGTACCAAAGGAATGGATAATGAGGCAACGGTATGAGTTAATTAAAGGAAATGCATTAAAAAATAACTGAAAAATTGCTGAATGGTTCGAGCTGCATCATAAGCAATGCATGGATGAATGGATTGATGAATGAATAAATGGTGAAGTGAGTCAGCGATGAAGCAAGGCTGCTGGCGAGAGGAGCTGGTTTTGGCTATTAGACATATAGTATATTTAAGTACTAAGGGAACATGTATGTGAGGAGTTAATGAAATTTGCAAGAAAATTATTTAAAACTATTTTAAATTGGAAAGAAAAGGTACAGTGACGCATTAAGAGCTGCGGTAGGGTTTGCTTAAGGCGCTTATTCGTGCTCGCTTAGAAGTTGTCTTAAGTGTATCATTATTTACATCATCCTATATGCTCAGCAATAATAATTAGGCAAATTCTAGAAAAACAAATCGTAAACCGCCTATTTTTTCTCAAAACTATTGTTCTTAATAGGCGGCTTTTATGTAATTTTCATATTCATCTTAATTTTTTGCTTCATTTATGCTGCTCATCTGCCATTGCCTTGTAGCTTTGAACCTATGCAGGTTAATAAACATATAATTAGTTTGTATACGCAAGCCAAGCAAAAATTAATTCGCGTATTTTCAGCTGAAAATTTTACTTCGCTATTGGCGCTGTTTTAGTTTCTACGAGGCATTAAGTGAGGGACTAGAAAGAATGCGAAAAAAAAATAAAAAAAAGGTGAAGAACGTACTAACTCAACTCTTCACACTGCCAACAACACTTTGAACCCGGCTAATTGAGTTCCTGTTACCATGAAATTATAAACAACTTAGTGTTTTTCTCTTCGCTGCCCTCCGCCCAGTCTGAGCTGTGAGCATCCACCAAAGCAGCAAGCGGAAAAAGAGAGGAAGTGAAATTAGAAGATGAAATGTTAAAAAAACTAACAAAAAGTTCAAAATGTTAGTAATTTAGTATGTAGTTGTCATTTGAGGACACCATAACACAAATATTTTCATAAACAACAACGCGCGGAGCTGGCCAATGCAGTTACAAGTTAATTTCACACAGCTGAAAATGGCTTGGCTTTTATGTAAAACATTTGTAAGCTCTTAAACTTATATTTATGTACATATGATCTAGCGTACGTGTGTAAACTTAATAATCATAATTAGCTCCAGCAACACGCATTTATTTATATAGTTTCCAGAAAAAATAGAACTAAATTAAAAGTAAAATAAAAGCTTGTGGCTTTGTCAGCCAATAAATCATTTTCTGCAATGAAATTCTGTGAAAAAAAAACACATTAGCGCTGATTATAACTGCTGAATTATGCGATGGTCCAGCGCTAGATTTAATGGACAACATTTGAATATTACGATGTGAAGAGAATTAATTCGCAACAATGCTGAAAAGAGCTGAACTGCGCTGAATAAAGCTGAATTACACGAAAATAGACTTAGCGTGATTAAATATTATAACAAAAAGCGGTAAAAATGCGCTGAATAGATTGAATAAAAAGAAATAGCAAGTATTCTTATTAAATAAGAACTTGCAGACCTGGGCATATAATATTTAAGGAGCTGAGTTGTGCTGAATTGAATACAAAAGAATAAACAGTTAAAGTACGCAGTGGAAATATGTTTAATAAAGCTGTATTTAATAAAAATGTAAAAACAATAGCGCTGAATAGCTCAAAAATTTGGCTGAGTAGTTAAGTACTGCGCTGAATACTTCGAAGTTTATGTGTGCAGCGCACAGAAGACCATTTAAGGAAACTAGAATGATAAAATACCGAACTTTTATATAAAAAAAGCTTGACATAAACTTAGTGGAGCTTCAAAAAAGTCAAATACATATAGCCGCATAAACATCAAATGAATGAACATATCGATTAAAAAATAGTAAATAGCGGAATGTCTAGCTGAATAGCGAAATGTCAAGCTGAATAGCGAAATGTCAAGCTGAATAGCAAAATATTGAGCTGAATAGCGAAATGCTGAGCTGAATAGTTGAATATATTAGGCAAGCTTTACTCTTAGAGCTTTTAGAACAGTTGGGTAATCATCTAAACGCGTAAACGCCTCGTAACCACGTAAACCTCGTAAACTTACTTAATTTTGTATGAAAATCCGGTTTATTTAGGAGGTTTACGCGGTTACAAGGCATTTACATGTACAGATGAATACCCATAAAATTTTTTCTTCTTTACAAGTTAATGCCACCAAATTCAATAATTCTTTCTTTTGCAAACCAATTTCTGCGAACGATAGGTGCAAAGAGAGTAGATCCACTCAAAACAGGCCAGGCAGCAGTAGCAGATAACCGGTACAGAGTTTTTAATTAATTACCGTAATTTGTCAAGCTTTGACAAGCAAAAGATAAACATAAGAGAAAAGAAGCAATACAAAGCGGCAAAAGTGGGCTCTGGAGAGGAGAAGTCATTCCACATTCTCGAAGATTCAAATTCATGAATCGCGGATTGCAAAAATAATCGCTTCCCACAGGTCTTGCCTTTGATTTGGGAATTAATTTCATGCATAAACATGCAAAGAATGTGGGCAAAGAAGCAGTAAAATTTACTGTCGCTGCAGCTGTTGCGAGCCATTCAACCGAAAGACGCTACAAATTGTTGGGCCAGCGATGCTGCAAAGGCGATAAGTTGGCCACATAATTGAAATGCTTGCAACTTCGGCAGCTGGGCGCACCATTCCGGAACCTAGGTTGCTTACATAAGAAATGCTGGTAAAAATACGAGGAAATTTTATATTTCTTCGCGTAGCCTAGTTCTGGGCGCCTTGCAATATTTGCCACAATGCCACGCAGTGCAAAATCCACACCCTGCCATTTTACCTGTGTGCTTAATATCGGTAAGCGCAATCGTACTGTGCAACATTTAATTTAAGTTGTTGCACATGCCAATTTCGCTTTAGAGTGGCAAAAAAAATGGCGGAATTTCGTAAAAAGACAGCGCTAAGCTAAATTGCAATGGGGCGGCATCATTGGCCGTATCCTTGTAAGTACAAACAATGCACTTTTTATTGTTATTATTGCATTTATTGCCATCATTATGGGCCAGCAGCGGCAGTCCCTGTTGATGCGGTTAAATGCGCACACAGCGATCGATCGACGCGCTTGAGCAGCACTGTACCTGCATGCATTTTCTTCTTTTTTTTTTTTTGCCGAGGTTGTTGCAACTGCAAAAGTATGCATCGCCTCGTTGCTGTGATGCGCCAGCGCGATAATTTTTCACTGTAGCTACACGACAGCTACTTACATATTGCAGCAACAATGCTGCCCTGCTTCGCGGCATTCAGCTCTACGCCTTTTTGATTTATTTGAGTAAATAAAAAATCACATCGAGCGCCAATAATTGCTCAGCGACTTGCATTCGCCTCGTTTAGATTTATTTTCTTTATATTTTATTCCATTTGACTGCCTTTGCTTGCCTCACTGTGGTTGTTGCTGCTGTTAATTGTTATCTACATTTTTGTAATCAATATTTTCCTTATTTAATGATCACTTGGCGAGCTATTGCTGCCCATTGTCTGTAGCGCTCGCTGTGTGGCGGAGGCGATTTATCAGTGCTGCTTTAGCATCGGCGTGGAGCCACTCAACTGTTGTTGAGACCTATATTGCTGCTGTTGCTATTGGATATGCAATTAGCTGCATTGGAAATCACAGTCCTATTGAATTTACTTTTTTTTGTATTTGCTTTACTCAGTTCTTGATATCGATACCATTTGTTTTTAGGCTTTTATTTTTATCTTATATTTGTTAATTTGTATTATTACCCAGTTGGCGCTGAGGAAATGGACTCTTCCCATTGTTTCAACGATCTTTGTGGCACTCACCTTTGTCTTTTTTCAATCCGAGCTCACGCTTTTGTTGTTGTTGTACAATATGAGTCCTTGCGTTAGCTGCAAAGGCTGAGCAGAAGCATACTGCGTAGAAGATTAACTGAAAAAGAAGAGAAAATAGAGTGAGAATTTAATATTTGAAAGGCTTGGGTAGTACATTTCACATTTTATTGAATTATCTGTTTCAAAAGTTGGCTGAGTTCTACCAGAATTAGACAAAATTATGTATGGGGACTAATGCTAGAGCGCAATCCTCTTTGAACATTTAAAATCTGTATCTCGCACATTTCATTTACCCTCATCGAAAATCCACCTCATCGTCCCATAGAGCAAATTCATAAAGGCATTTAACCCGCAATTCGACCTTTTAACACCAATCCTTCACTTTTTAATACATTTGCCTTAAGCAAACGATTCTTGAATGCGCGTAATATGCCACTTATGAAGTTGTTTAACCCTTTTGGTGACCCTACACTGCACTACACGATTCGGCGCGCCAGTGACAAGGATGTTGCACGAAAAATGCAGCACACAAAACATTATAACAGCAACAATGAGCCAGCGAGCAACAGCAGCAACCACAAAAACCACAACAATACTGGCATAGGTATCAATGCAGTAGTGGCGCGTGCGTACATTGCCCGTTTGCCGCATAATGCATGCAGCACAATGTGGAGCCAAGACACACACGCATTGACACACAATAAAAAAATGTGCATGCATATATGCCCACTGGTTCGTGCATAAATGTGCTGGGAAGCAACCGCGAGTGGGCAACGAAACGTTTAAGGTAGACAATGGCTGCAGCAGAAGCAAACAAAAAAATTCAAAAGTGGGATACAAAAAGTTTTTTAGAAAGACTAATTCAGAATTGGAATACAAAAATTGCTTGAGCAAAACTAATTCAGAAGTGGAATAATAAATACAGTGGTTGCTTGCCGAAGCCTGCATTCCTGTTGTGAGCAAGAATAAAACATTCGTAATTTGAAAGCCCCACCGCTGCTACGGCCGCCTAAAAAGGCAGCTGCTTGCAACTATCAATGCCATTTATTGTAGATGCTCGCTAAGTTTTTACTAGCTATAGTGGCAAAAGCTGCTGATCTTTTCATCATTATCGCTGTCTACTGTTTGAGCAATTAAGCTTAATTTGTTGGTTTTGCGTAGTATGTAGATGTAGTAGTCAGCTCTAGCGTGTATTCATTGTTGCACGCAAATCGCAACGAGTGCACGCGTGTCAACGCCTAGCGGATATGATGCTTTGCTTTGCGATCTGTTCGTCGCTTTTGAATGAAAACTGTCAACTTGACAAAAGCGACGACGTCCACGGACGCAATTATTCGCCGCACGCATTTATTACTCAATCAATTTGCCATGATCGTGAATCACCGCTAAAAAAGTGCCCAAAATTGAAGAAGAGTACGTAAAGATGTGGAAATATTTGCTTGAGTGCTTTAGTTTAGCCGCGATTCATTGAGCTTTGCGCAAATGAAAAGTAATGAGCGTGAAATTTGCACCCGTGCCCAGTAGGAAAGTTGATGTTCTCGTCATTCGTTTCCCAGCGAGATTTCAGAGCAAGCCCTAAGCGTCTGTAGCTTTGGCTTAACAAAAAGGAGCTCAGCGAGCTAGGAAAAATTTTGAATGCTCGGACTTCTCTAGAGGGTCGGATTTACTTTGCGAAAGTTCAACAATTAAATCCACTTATTTAATTAGTGGCGTGAATGATGTATGTACTTCAATATGTATGTACTATATATCTACGCAAATTACTCGCCCAATTTGCTATTCTAATTGTTTGTTTTATGACGATTTCATTATTCAATAAACTATTTCGTTTAGTGTCGTTAATTTGCTATTAGTGCTTACGTACCGCGCTTTTTTTGCGAGTCACAAAGTTGTTATCTGTCAAGGCCAGTTGTGCTGCTTTCTAAATAAAGCAGCTCGCGAAAACCGGTTTAAATCGATTAAGCAAATAATATTTTTTCTTGAAGGGAAAGAAAAGATTTTTGCAAATGATTCAAATGCAAATCGGGCGCAATAAATTAAATTTGCTTTTATTTACACAATATTGCAAATTGAAATGGAAGCAAGTTTCGGTATACATACAGATTATAAAGAAAGATAATGTGAGCGCAGGGAAGATATTTGCGAATTGAAGATAACTGCTTTCCATTTATAAACGAGATTACCTTAAAATATGCAAATAAAGACCTCGACATTGAATCTTTTTCATTGCAGTTTTGGTGGCAAATATTTGTTTACTTGCAATTGTCGCCATTCCTTAAACAACTAAATGTTATTGCGAAACTTTATCGCTGGCCGAGAATTTGTCAGCAAATAAACCTCTAAATTTTAGTAGGGATTTTTATTCATGACAGAGGTGCTTGACCTTACATTTCTAAACTCCTCAGCCTTGAGCCCCCTTCGAATGTGGCTACTAATGCATGGTTACCTTTTTGATAATGTTGAGAAAAAGGTTCAAGCTTTAAGAAGGAAATCTCTAGTCCCCTTATATATACAAGATAATTGTCTAAAATAAAATTTGATAGCGGGCGCAAGAAAAAAATTATAATTTCTTGCGATGCCCGCTTCCGCACCGCATATTCACTGTTTCGGAAAAATAAACAAAGAAATATTGAGCAATTTTTAAATTAGCTGCAGACATGAAATAAAGTTTACAATAATTGAAAATTACGACACATCAAATTCAAAGTGTTAACGGGCAACCAAACGGAAGTGCATTAGCAGCCACTAAATTTGTATGAAAACTGCAACACAAAAATTTACAAAAACAATCACAAAACACACCAAAATAATCGATCCTAGAAAATATTTTTATCACTTGTTGTTCTGTAGACATTTATTGCTTGTATGATTTCTCCACCGAGAAAATTGCCAGCCATCAAATGGGCCGCAAAGCGCTAAAGTCAATAAATTAAGCGACTAAAAATGCACATGAAAAGCGAATTGGAAATTTATTTTTCCTCATTTTCACGCTACAACACAATTAATGCACGAGAGCGCGAGAACGTGGCCACACGCCCCAGCCTGCCTGTCACACATATTATTTTTAATTCTTTCATAAACACCACGGCACCTTCCACTGAGTTATGGCACAAAAAAAATTTTAAAGATAATTTGGAAAAAATGTGTGTTTGGAAGCAAATATTTGACGCTTAACTAAAATAAAAATATGCGTCGATTCGGACCTAAGTTGCTCCGAAAAAAATCTGATTGCATGTACCCCAAGTTTTTGGCAACATATTTAGCTTTTGTAATGGCCTATTTAAATCTTAAAAATTATTAAATAATAAATGATTTTTATTAGTAGACAGGAGGATGGCGTTAAGAAAAGCGCTGACATGTGGTGCGGTTCCACATGTGAGACCAGAAGCGTGGTAGTGACTACATAGACGCCTGTCTAATGCAGTTACGCGCCAGTTGTTGTTGCTGCTGCCTTATTTTGGCATAAATTATTTAAAAATTCATTAAATTTACCGCTTGTTATAAATGTGCGCGCGTGCATCTATGTATGTATGTGTGTGTGTATGTGTCGGTTACGACCAGTAGGCCGTACGACAGCGCGCGTGAATTTCGAAATCAGAAAGATTTTTCGGTGCGCATTTTTGTTTGAATGTTTTTTCTATGTGGGCTTGGGTATCTGTGTGGCTGCTTGTTCGCTTGTCAGTGGATGAAAAATGAGTAAAGAGGAATTGCTTGTGACATTTATTGAGAAAGAAAAGAATTTTTCGAAGAAAATGATGCGGAAAACATGCAAAGGAAATTTCTGAACGGAAGCTTTGGAGCTAAGAGTATGCGCTACACAGAAGTTTTTTTTTAAAGAAAAGAGGTACCTTGAGGTTGGATGTTTTTAAATTTTAATGCATCAATCGTCAACAAATTTTTCATATAGCCCAAAATGCAATAACGCAGTGGCAGTGGCAGCGGAACTTTTTCGAAATCAGCTGTTTTTTTAGAAAGTGTGGTGTCCAATGAAGCGACTCAAAATACAGCAGTGGCAGCTAGCAGCACTGCTCAGTTTAGCCCAAATTCTAAATTCACTGCCACTGCCTTCATCGCAGCAAACTTCGCATGGTGAATTTGACGTAAATGAAACGCAGCCAACTTCTGTTTATATCACTGAAGCCTAAAAGGCAACAACAAAAATGTTAACAAACAAAAGAGAATGTCAAAGAAAGGCGGTCATTGACAACGCCGTATTGTATTTGCTGCGGCAGTGACCGCCAATATTAGCAGTATCAGCTGATTTTAAAACTGTCACTGCCACTGCTATATTGTGTTTTGGGCTTATGTTATTATTTTAATATAAAAACAAAAATTATTTTAACATTTGCTAAGGAAAACAAAAACAAAAGTTATGCGGGTTTGTGATTATTGAAATATTGAAAGTTATATAAAAAAAATACATTTTCAATGAACTGTGCTACAAAACATAAACAGTGTTATTCGAATCAACTAATATTAGTACTCTACGGATAAATTAGATTAAACAATATTTTAAATGCCTACTGTGGCATAAGTTTGAAGGGCGTTGGAAAATAACACCTCCATATCCTCCCTATTATACTCTGGCTGTAATAAAGCTTTTATTCCACTTTCTCTATTCCTTTTTTCAACTTTCGTTTGTACAGAGATTGGAATAACCTGCTTAAAATTGACTCTGATCTACCTACAACTACGAGTATCTAAAAAGCTTTCATCTTATTTATATCTCTTTTTAACTGCCACTTAAGTCACACAAAGGCAGTCAATTTTTAGTATAAATTTTTATGGCTTTTTAATAATTTTTGATTAGAATTTTAAGATGAGCAAAAGGAAACGCGAGAGCAATTTAGTTTCGAAAAATTAGCGACTAAAATAAATAAATATTTAATTATTTAGATCAGAACATAAAAGGCAACGCAGCAAACGATGTGCGTGCCACCAACGTACGTCAATGCATAAATAATAAACACTTAAGAGCCAGTTTATAAGCTGCTGCGTGATTGGCTCATAAAAGAGCTCTTAACTTTGCGTATTCGTAGTGCGCAAAAAGATATTCATTTATAATACACATATATTATAAAATAAAAATAAAATAAA